ATGTTCAGTTACGAAGATAATAAAAAAATTTAAATTAAAAATTTCCATGTTATTCTTATGGAGAATAAATACAATTTGGCCATTTTTTAATTAATCTAAAACACACCTCAATATATTCCCCGTAGTAGCAAACCTAAATGCTCACTAACATTAATGTTGTTTAGATAGGAAGTAAATCTGACAATTTTTAGGGAACATTTTTATAGTATATTTATACCAGCCGTAATATTTTCGTAAACATACCAGCCACAGTCTGCTTAGTCTGCAGTTTTGCTGCACATACACATTTAAACATCTCTAAGCGTCTCTTAGAAATAGTTTAGAACATACTTTTAATCTAAGCAACTCTTATGTAAATTTAAAATGTTACAAAATTTATAATTAAAATGTAAGTAATAAAAATTATATAAATTTACTTACCAGAGTTCCGGACCCAAATGTCTGTGTTGTGATGAGGGATGGAGAACATTCTTAGCCCCCTCACTTTGGCTCTGCTGTTTGTACATTTTGCGTAGGCGCACAAATTACCGGACATGTTAAAAATAAAAATACTACTAATTTACATATTAAATCTATATATATAAAATCCAATGTATGTTTGTATATTTGTATGTTTGTATATTTGTATGTTTGTCCTTTATGGACTCCGAAACCGCTCGACAGATTGTAATGAAACTTTTAGGCATTATTAAGCATTATTCAAGGATGGTTTGTGTGAAGTTTGGTGCAGATCCGTCAATAGGGCTCCGCCCCAGTGGCTCTGGAGTTTCCCATGTTAACCTTATGAGTACTCATATTTAAATGGAATTAAAGAATCTTAACAGCTGGTGCAGCTAAACAATTTGATTCTGTGATGTTCAATAGCATTAAAAAGTTAATAGGTTTACCAACAGGGTGCAGCACTATATTTTTTTTTAATTTATGAGAACAGCTAATTTGCAACCAAAAAGTGAGTGAGCGTAGCGAACGAACTTCAACCTGGAGACGAGTTAGCGTAGCAAACGAGCTAACCTGAAGGCAAGTGAGCGCAGCGAACGAGCTCCAACCTAAAGGTGAGTGAGCGTAGCGAACGAACTTCAACCAGGACGTGATTGAGCCATGCGAACGAGGTCATCTTGAAAATGAACGAGCATGTGACATAAAACCACAATAGGACAGGACGACGTCTGTCGGGCCAGCTAGTTACAATATAAAAATTTACTATAAAACTAAAAAATACTACTAAATATTAACAGTACAATAGATTGTTACAAATCCGTCAACGAAGGGAGCCGCCGCGGTAGGTGAATACACGTGATCGTGATAGTACAGCCACGCGAGTGTTGGCGAAGCGCGTGCGTACGGTAAGTCACTTCCTTTGCGTCGCGAAGGTCGGTAACGTAGAGAGGAGTCAATAGCGGAGCGTGGCAGACGACACGCGCCTGCACTCTGGTGAGCTATTGGAGAATGACCGTTGGCTGTCTGCTTTGTTTCCCTTGTCTGTGATCCGGGTAACGATCCCATGAATCATACATGTTGATATATGATTGTTTACATGTCGGGATAAGAAGCCTCCTGTTTCTTCTTAAACAATTTCCATTAGACTTCACCATGTATTCTCTATCATTGGAACCTCTATCTACTATAGTCCCGTACCGCTTCAAATCAGTTATCCATACATTAACCCCCTTTTCCAATATGTCGAGATTTCTAGCTCTGTGCCTACGATCATAGTAAATTTTGTTCTTTTGATTCTGTTTTTCTTGGTTATTTCGATACTGATCTAGATCAGGCCAACGAGGTTGAAGCTGCTCTGGAACTGACGGAAGAGTTGTGCGTATTTTCCGTCCAAAAATCAATTCTGCAGGTGATACTCCACATGCAAGAGGAGAAGAGCGATGTGCTAAAAGACCAAGATATGGATCTTTATTTCTCTTTAATATCCCTTTACATGTCTCAACCGCTCTCTCAGCTTGCCCATTAGACTGAGGGAAGTGAGGGCTTGAGGTCTCTATAGCGAAACCCAATTCTTTTGCAAACGCTCTCATATCTGAAGAGACTAAAGCAGTTCCATTATCAGACCTTACAACACGTGGAATCCCATGTCTGGAAAATATGGACAAATAAGCTTGTTTTATAGCAACCGTATTAATACTGGCTAATGACAACAATTCAATATATTTTGAAAAATAGTCTTGCATGCAAATATATACTTTTTGATTATACACGAATAAATCTGTCCCAACAAATTCCCAGGGTTGATTAGGAACCACAGACGTGATCAATGGTTCGGCAGGATTAACCCGATTCTCCAAGCAACTAGAGCAGTTCTCAACCATTCTCTTTATATCCACCGATAGTCCAGGCCACCAAACTGTGTCCCTTGAACGAGCCAGACACTTATTTACTCCTAGATGTCCACTATGTATCTGGGATAAAATCTCATTTCTTAAAGGTTTTGGAATAAATATCCTTAATCCTTTTAAAATCAGTCCATTAACAAAAGACAAATTCCCTCGTTCTCTGAAAAATTCTGTATTCTTTAAGTCCGTCCACTCACCTGATTCTATTGCTTTCCTCAACATGTTACATATAACATCTTCTTTCACACTTTGACGAATTATTTCTAATCTACTGTCTGAGCAAGGTAATGTAGACACAACTGAATTAACAAACACCTCAACATCTTCATCTAGTATATCACTTTCCGCAGTTGAAACAAACTTTATCAACTGCCGGACACTTTTCCTTGGAATGAAACTGATTTGAACCACACCGACTACATTTCTGACTATTTTGATTAAATTCTGAGGCCTTACCAAACTGCTGTGTGTCGCTGGTTTTACCAAACCTTGATGAAAACGTCTTTCTTGTTTCCATGACTGATGTTTCGCTTATCTCTTCCGAGTTAGCAGCCTGTTGTTCCATCGCTTCTGCTTGCCTTGCTGCTTGAACTGCCCCAGTCAACGTTATCCCATCTTTTAATTGTAGGTGTTTGGATAAACTCTTATTAGACATCCCTGTAACAAGCTTAAGAAGTATCATTTCATCATTAAAATGTCTACTCTTACAATTGCTGCATGACCATTCACATTTCTCTGACATTTTATGTAAATCATTAATGTAAGAGTCAACCTTCTCGCCTGGACATTGGTCTTTCTGTAGAAACATAGCTCGATGGTAAAATATATTTTTCTTGGTAGAAAAATAATCATAAAAAGTTTTCACTACCACATCAAATGAAACCCTTTTTTCCTCAGACATTCCTAGTGACGTTAGGAGTTCCTCAGCTTCTTGGCTCATGCAGTACAATAACATGTTCACCTGCTGATCTTCAGATTTTAAAGCCAACCCAGTAGCTTTACGGAACATTCCAAATACCTTTATCCAGTTTGACCATGTTGCTGGATCTTGGAAGTTGAAAGGATCAGGAGGTTTGACTTGGTACATAGGTTCTTGCCTAGATTTAGCCTCTTATTCACTCATTTTAGTATTTAGAACAGAGTTTAATATATCTTTCAGTAATTCTGGTGTCAATTCCATTTTAAAATATTCTTCTTCAGTCTAAACGCTGCCACCATGTAAAGATAGATTAAAAGGAATTCTTCTAAGAACTTTTATTCAACATTCAACTAACTTAACAACTCACTTCAAAACAAGTCAACAACATAGTAACCCCTGGTAACCATAGTCATATGAGTAAACATACAAATAATTACTAAATCACATGTCATTCCATTACATCCTCTCTCCCATGATAAAATGAACAACTTTATATGCATTTTACAGTGTGTTAATTCTCTCATCTAAATTGTAGCAGATTTTTAAGTTGGATAAAACCAAAACCATATAAATTTGGTTTCCATAAATCTTTTTCATAACACTGACAAAAATATAAATTGTACATTAAAAATGGAGTCAATATTTACATAGCTCGGTAACCAAGCTTTCGCATTCCTAACCCTGCCAGTGACAGACACATTCAACTTTTTTTTTAATTCAGAATTTAGCTACAGTTGAATAATATAGATGGAATGCATGAAACAACTACATGACAGTTAGACCAACCTGCTAGCTTGTAAATGACGACTGACGAGGATACAAAATCAAATGAAAGCAAATGCAAAACTAAAGCCCCCCACACACTACCAGACCAGACCTCCAGACCAGACCGTCTGGTCTGGCGTCTGGCACTTGTCTTATCGTGTGTGGGGCTGTCTGCAGACCGATTTTCTCGGACCAGACTGTCTGCGTGTCTGATGGTTGAACCCTCAGACCACAGACGGTCTGGTTGCAGCCAGACGGTCTGGTCTGGAGGTCTGGTCTGGTAGTGTGTGGGGGGCTAAACAAACAACATCAAAAAACGTAAAGTGTAAAACGTCAACGTGAAAGTGTTTAGTGTAATGTAAGGTATTTACTCAGGGGAGGTATAGAAGAGGCTACGATGACAGCTGAGGGCTTCTTATTAGCTGAGGGAACGCCATTACCGTAACAAAACGTTCAACAGCCATCGGCCTCGGTGGTCTATTGGTTAGCGTGCCGGGCTGATTTACTGAAGGTCCCGGGTTCGAATCCCGCTGGGAGCATTAACTTTTTGTCCAAGATTTTTTTATTATCAGCAAGTTTGGTTGGTTTGGTTATTACAGTTTAATTTTATTATTAAGTCATTATAAAATTTTAATTGAGCAATTTCTAGTTTTATTTAATAAACAGAATTATTTTTCCGATTACTAAGCTTTTATTATATTATTTCTTTATCAGCAAGTTTGGTTAGTTCGGTTAGGTTATGATAGTTTAATTTTATAATTAAATAATAGTAAAATTGAATTTGAGGCATTTATAATTTTATAATTTTATTTTATGAACAGAACTATTTTTGCGATTAGTAAACCTTCATTGCCAAAGTGCTCTCTACTACAGCGCTGTTCACGGAGGAATTTTGAACTAAATGCCTCATTTGTACCTCCCCTGAGTCAGACCCGTAATGTAATACTCTTATGTCATGTCTCATGTCAATTGTCAATGTCAATGTGGGATAATTAGGATAGAACACTAGAACAGTTAAAGTTATATAAGAATCAGCAATAAACGGGAGTTAATTATATGTTATTTTAGCCCTATAGTTGTTTTTAGGAAGTCTTAGTTACAATATCACTCTTCAGGTAACATGTGAAACATAGCCTAGGCCTATTTAATTTAAAATGAAATTTGAGGTAAACAATGAACAAGGTTACAGTAAAAGTATTATTTTTCGCTAAAGCCAAAGAGCTTAGTGGGAAGCGCGAGAGTTTCATTACTGTTAACTCGGTAATATGTTATAACGATCTATTAGACAAGATTGTTAATGAATTTGCCCTTCAAGCTTTAAAAAATAACATAATACTTTCAATCAACGAAGAATATCTACCTTCTGATCAAAATATAACAATTGATGCTCAAGATATAATTGCTGTTATACCACCATTGAGTGGAGGTAAATTATTTTATTAAGTTATAGACTACCGGTACCTTATGTCACCAGTACCAGTAAGTTAACTCTTTTAATACTTAAAAACAATTGAAATGGTTAACTCTCTAGTTATCAAGGCAATTCACTTCTCCTGGAAAGTTGTTTAACTTAAGCCTACTTAGTTGCAAAGTGGTTCTGTTCTTAAGTTATTATTTTAGGCTCCTTTCATACTAGCCTTTACGCTTTTCTCTGTACGGTTAAAAACCACACTGGTAGTTTTATTTTAGAAGTGCAAAGAAGAGCATGAGAGCTTTCTCACTAAAGCTGCGTTTACACCAAAGTTGACAACCAAAAGTTGACAACAAAAGTGTAAGTTACAAGTTACAACCAAAAGTTTACAACTAAGATAAAAGTATACAACTAAATGTTGCTCTGAACAAATTTGAGAAACTAGTGAAAGATTTTTTGTTGAAAACCAAAAGTTGCTCCTCACAAATTTAGAGCAACTAGTGGAAAACTTGTGGCCCAAGAATTGGCTACCGCCCGACGTCACACCCGGGATGCGTGGAGGGGCCAGGAGGAACAGTTCTCCACTAGTTTTCTACAAGTTGCTTGCACAAAGCGTGTAGCAACTAGTCTTCCACTTTTTGTTGTAAACTTTCTTTGCTCTTTACCGACTCTCCGCGGGAAACCAAAATTTAGTTGAAAACTTGTCTCTCCACTAGTGGATGACAGAAAAAGTCATTGTATTTTGTAGGAAAAGCAACTAACTTAGTTTCCAAAACTAGTGGAAGAGGTAATTTTTTACCGTACTTACACTGGGATATGATGTAATTTTGATATGTCTACTTACAGTATTTTTAACGCTGAATCCAAAAATGCAATCGGTTATGGTCGGAGAGATTCCTAAGTGGCTGTACAGTTAAATAATTAATATTAAGCTTCAGTTTTGTTGATTTCTTAACATATTTGTGGTATGGACGAGTCCAAGTTCTAGTGGCGACTAACAATAATAGGGGTGGAAGGTTTGTGGAGTGGAAACAGCTGTCAGTTGTTTACATTCGATACTAAACAGACAAAACCACACACGACGCCATGAGAGCAAAATCAGAGTTACAATATGCAATAACTAGATTTTTAAAAGAAAATGGACTTTGGTGCTATAAATAATAAATAATAAATCAACTACGATACATAAACTATTAATCACATGAACATAACTTATAAAACAAAATAGAATTTATTCACGTTAAATATCAGTAATAGAAGCTAGGCCACTGCCGACGTGATCATCGTCCTCATTCCAATCCTCAACCATTGACTAATGCCTCAACGTCTGTTAATCCCATAGTACATAATCCCATTGTGTCTAAAACTGAAAACGTGCCACAGTGCATAATTTAATGTATCAGCAACTAATAAATGATGTTACATAATCTAATCTAATCTAACCTAACCCAACCCAACCTTAATATTAATGTTTAAATCACATTTTATGTCAGAAAAGGCATGTGAGGAAGATAGGTCGGACTTTATGCAGATTCGTGACTATATTAAGTCCTTTGAAGTGAGGTTAGATTAGGTAAGTTAAAAGTTAGGTTATAATGAACAGACTCATTAATTTATGCAACTTCCAGACTGTTTTTGCACAATTAAATAGTGGGTGAAACACAATAAAATAACGATACCAAAAATGCGCAAGCTATTAAATTGTGCAAAAACAGTGCTTGCGCATTTTTGATATCGTTATTTCATTGTGTTTCACCCACTATTTAATTGTGCAAAAACAGTCTGGAAGTTGCATAAATTAATGAGTCGGTTCATTATAACCTAACCTTTACCTTCCTAATCTAACCTCACTTCAAAACACTTAATACAGTCACGAATCCGCATAAAACCCGACCTACCTTCCTCACATGCCTAAATAAGAACTGATTATTTGGTTTAATTCAAAACGAATTGATTTGATTTAATTCCGCATTAGATCAAGTATAAACAGTTGTTTGCTCTTCTCACTCAGTCCTCACTCCTCACTCAGTACGGACCCGTCCAGACCACGCCATATTACCATTACCTTCAGTACTGCTCAATTATCCTTAGATTTGTAATCCTAACCTTCGTTTTACGGCCACTTAGGAATCTCTCCAACAAAAACTGAGTGCATTTTTGGATTCAGCGTTAAAAATACTGTAAGTAGACATATAAAAATTACATCATATCCCAGTGTAAGTACAGTAAATATTTGCCGTGTAAGACTTTGATGTAAACGCGGTGTTATGAAAAGAAATGTTTAGACACCAAATTGATATGGTTTTATTCAACTTAATAATCAGCTACATTTTACATGAGAGAATTGCACAAAACTGTAAACATTACATATATAAACAAAACAGTCTTAAATAAAACAGCTGAAGAAATGTTTGGCAGTACAATAGAAATCATATTAGGCCTATATAACATTCACCCCATCTTTTTTTAAAAATGTAATCCCTTAGATAGGTGGGAGGTCTTCGGACTCTAGTGGAACGACGCAGGTTTGTTTCTTTGTTGTCCCTCATAGAAGTAGGGGTCACGGTCCCATGCAGAGGGGATGTTTCGATTTCAGATTGAATAGAGTTCCCAATTTCAGGTTGAAGCAGGTTTGATTCACGTCTCAGGTCTTGAAGAACAGGATCTACTTCTTGACTGGGATTTTCCCAAGTCACTGGCTCATCCTCTTGTTGGATAGCTTCAGGGGGAACAGCGAGATGTCGCGCCGATACCAGAGCCTCTCTACCATCTCTATACTTGATGCGAGCATAGTCTGGATTAGCCTCTATCAGTTGAGCTTGTTCCACTAAAGGTTCATATTTGTTATTTCTTACATGCCTTCTGACTTCTCACTAATACTGGTCCTGGATTCATGAGCCATTGAGGTTGAGAGGTGCCATAAAATGATCGTCTCTGGTGTTTGAAAAGACGTTCATGTGGGGTCTCATTCGTAGCTGTGCATAGTAACGAGCGTATACAATGCAAAGCTTCTGGCAAAACATACTCCCACTGTTCTGTCTTCAGTCCCTTGTTTCTCAGAACAAGAGATACAGTCTTCCAAATCCTTCCATTATATCGCTCAGCTTGAGAATTACCTCGAGGGTTATAAGGTGAAGATCGGCTAGTGGCGATTCCTTTAGGTAAGAAATCACTCAGTTCTTTTGACATGAAAGCAGAACCTTGGTCGGAGTGGACAAAAGCAGGCATACCAAAGATGGTGAAGATTGATGTAAGTGCTTTGATGACAGAAGATGCTGATGTGTCCGAGCAAGGAATAGCAAATGGTTATCTTGAAAACTCATCAACAACCGTCAGTATATATTTATTCCTTGTCACAGATGATATTGGCCCCTTAAAATCAATGTTAAGTCTCTCGAAAGGAGCCATTGCATGGATGAGTGTTGATGGGGTTTTTTGGTAGAACCGAGGTTTCACTTCCGCACAAACAGAGCATAAAGCGGTCATTCGCCTGACATCTTCGATAGAGTAAGGGAGATTTTTACTTTTTAAGAAATGAACCATCCGTACTATTCCAGGATGTCCAATGTCACAATGAATTCTACGGAGTTTTTCAAAATCTCTACAAGAGATGGAAGATGAAAGTCGTGAAAATGCATCTGCTACTACGTTTTCCTTGCCAGAACGGTACACTATGTCGTAAGAGAAAGGTGCTAGTTCCAATCGCCACTTTAAAATATTGTTGTTCTTAACCTTTCCCGCGTGTTTCTGATTGAACATATAGGACACAGATTTCTGGTCTGTAATTAATTTAAATCGTCTTCCAATCAGGAAATGCCTCCATTTCTGTATTGAATCGAATATTGCGAGGGCCTCTCTTTCCACAGCAGGTAGATGTTCACTCTTAGTTAGGGTTCTTGAAAAGAAACATATTGGCCTTCCAGCTTGTGAAAGGGTAGCCGCTATAGCTGATTCAGATGCATCTGTTTCTACAGTAAATGGAATATTTTCTTCAACTGCAGACATACTGGAGTTTGCTATTTCTTCTTTTAATGTCTTAAAAGCCAATATTTCTTTACTGCCTACTGGGAATGATTTGACTGTAGTAAGGCAATGAACCTTCTCAGAGAATTTAGGAATCCACTTTGCGTAATAGGACAACATGCCAAGAGCTCTTTTAAGGCTTGCATTATCAGTTGGAACGGGGAAATTCAAGAGTGATTGCAAGCGGTCAGGATCAGGACGCATGGACATGTTTTCTACAATGTACCCCAGAACTGGAATGCTGGTCAACGAAAACTTAGATTTTTCTTTGTTCAGGGTAAGATTATACTTTTTAGTTGCTTCCATGAATCTCTGTAGGTTTTAATCGTGTTCTGCTTGGCTACCACCACAAATAGTTACATCGTCCAGATAAGCAAACGTGTCTAGTAGATTTTCAGTTTCTATAATCTGGTCAATAGTTCTTTGAAAACACGCCACACCATTAGTTACGCCGAAAGGAATTCGAGTGTATTGGTAAAGTCTCCCATTAGCTTCAAATGCAGTGAATGGTTTATCTTCATTCCGAATAGGTATTTGGTGACATGCCTCCTTCAGATCTATTGTACTGAACACTTTATATTGAGCAAGCTTAGAGACAAATGATCAATGTGAGGTAGAGGGTAGGCATCAAGCTGTGTGAATTTGTTGATGGTTTGAGAGTAGTCAATACACAGTCATCTC